ATAGAAAGTGGCCAGACGACTATGTAATAAAGATATAAATAGCATGAGATGAGGGGAAAGCAGCAGACAGATAAAAGCAAAGAGAATATAGGTGGTGTGAAGTTAAGTAAAGTAAAAGTGATAGGCCTAACGACTGACATAGGCCTAACATTTAATATATATTAGAGTGAAACTACCGTATTTTTTGGAATATAAGACACACCCTTATTTTGAAGACAAAGTTTTGGGGAAAAAAAAAAGCTACAGTCACATTTGAAAGATATTTATTGAATTAAAATTCAATTTGATACTTTACAAATTAGTATATATTGTTCTAAACACAAAAGAGCTCAAAACATCAAAATAAGAAAATACCATAAATCAAAAAAAGGTTTACTGTTATTTAGTTTGGTTCAAAACCTACAAAATCTTCATTGCTTTCACTATAATTTATTTTTTTTATTATTTAGGGAGCATTATAAATAGTTATGTTTTCAAAAGAAAAAAAAGCTACTATTGTTATAAATAACACACTCAATTGAACTAAACTATGCATGCCTATTTAAATATATTTACACATGGCTTGTGTATATTGTATACATACATATACATTATTCATACCTTCAGTGTATAGGACGCAAGCAGATTTTGACATCAAATTTTGGAGTAAAAAAGTTTGTCTTATACACCGAAAAATATGGTAACAATGGAAAAGGAAACAAGAAAAAATAAGTTTATTCCATCAAAGCGAAATTCTAAAGTAATTGAATCAGCCTGAGTGCACTCTGACAAAAGGAACGTATGATCTTCAGAAGAAAGAAGACCATAATCATAAGTAAATCACACCAGACTAATATTGTGATAGTATTACAGAAAACAGTTCGGCTTGTCCATCGAGATTCTAAAGTATGTAAACAGGCCTAAGTGGACTTTTGACAAGAAGAGGAGAACTATACATATACTGATAACGTTTACGATATGCTTATATTCTCTATAGTGTGAACAGTTTATTGTACATACGTTTACCTTGTTCCAAATATATATTATTTGAAAACAAATAAAGTGTGTGCTGTTTATTCATCATTGAATTTATCGCTAACAAGTC